TGTGGGTTTTTTTTTTTTTTTTTTTTTTTTTTTTTGTGGTTGGACTCGATGATCTCTGAGGTCCCTTCCAACCACTATGATTCTGAGAATGGAGCTGGTGTAAAACCTCTAGGAAAAGTCCTTGCACCTGAGTGTTTCTCTCCACTAATTTTTTCACATACCCAGAGCAGCACCAAGCCTTTGGCCTGGTGGCCTGAGGGGACCACCGGGGTCACATCACCATTCACTGAAAACACAGCATTTGCCCATTTCAGAAAGGTCCCTCGCACATTGTCGCCACACGCTACCATGGCCTGCTGAATGCCGGTGTGCTTGGGAGCAAATGTGAGACCTGTCACAACTGATCGAAAGCTGCAGTTTTTGCCTTAGGAAAGGGCAAGAGAGTGCAAAGGCTGGGGGCCAGAGGGCCTGCACAAGGGTCTCCAAGATGACCTCTGCTGTGGATAATGGAGGAGGGCAAAGGAAACCCTTGACAAACAGCCTGAGGGAGAAAATTCACTCCCACCCTGAACTGGGGATCAGTTTAACCCTATGTATGTGAGCAAGACAACTGAAGCAGAAATCTGAGAGATCAAAGCCAGCAAAGCACCGGTGCTTTTCTCCACCCACGTCCCGTCCCTCTGCTTGTGCCCAGCCTCCAGCGCACCAAGGAGAGTCAACATCCTCACACAAATCCAGAAGCCAAGTACTACAGAAATGAGTAAAACACTGCTTTGGGGTTTTCACTGGTAACCAGCAGGGAGCCCTGAAGCACAGGAATAACGCAGTATGACACAAACACAAAGAGATCCCCCAGAGCTGCATCAGGGCTGTGAGCCCCCGTGAAGGAAATGGCAGCCATCCCCTGCCCAGGGGCGCAGCACTTCAGGGCTCCCCCTCACCTCTCTGTCAGGCACTGCACACCACTGGGCACCTCAGCTTAGCTTGCCTTGTTCCCTTTCTTACACCAAGAGGAAGCGGTGGTAAGAACAGTTTACTCTGGAAGTTTCAGCCTCCCCTGAAATCATGCCTTCCCCATGGCTACACAACATGGAGTCCCTCACCATGTCCTGCCTCGGACTCATGGTGTCAGTGCGGCCACTCGCAGTTGGCCTTGCCTACTCAAGAGCCAGCTTCTCAGCTTGACTACCTGTGACACTTGGTCTGTGACACTTTCCTTGGCAGCAAAAAAAACCTGTGGATTTCCTCACTGAATGCGGGAGGGACCAAGGTGGGGTCTGTGCTCATTTCCCCTGTGCCAGAGAACCACTGACCTTCTAGTCGCTGCCCGGCAAGGGAGACAGCGGAGAGGCAGTAGGATATTTATAAAAAATCACTAGTTGCGAGGCATGTGATGAAAGCAGTGCAAACACGCAGCGAGCCATACAGCAAGCGAGCGCCAGGTCCTCAGGTAATGTAAATCAGCACAGCCCTGTCAACTTCAATAGAGCTCCACATTTCTGAGCTGCAGCCCCCCAGTCCCCTGGACAGCCCGACGCTTCCCTGGGGCAGCGTTAACAGTGGCAGCCACATCCTCAGAGGTGTGGTTAGCATGGCTGCAGGCCCCGGTGAGGTATCTGGCAGTGGCCCAGGTTAAGCAGCCTCTGCCACCCCAGGAGCTCAGTCTCTGCCACCCCTGGGAGCTCAGTCTCTGCACCGGCACAGCCCCTCCTGCAGTGCTAGGACGGGGCCTCCAGGCCACGGGAAGGACTGGATGAGGGAATCAGCCCAGATGAAAAGCAACCTGCCGAAAGAAAACAGTTATTTCCAGCCAAATCAGTTCCCCAGCCAAGTGTACTGGCACAACCACCCCAACTGCTGCTCCAGCGCAGGGAGGGGGAAGGTGCGCCCCTGGAAACCAGCAGCTGGAGTCAGGCTGCCACTGACAAAAAAAAAAAAAGTGTATTAATCTATATGCTTGGCTGGGGTTGTGGGAAAACACAAATCCTCCTTCTCAGCCTTCCAATAAGTTCTCCTTAAAGCACGAGCAGTCAAAAGAGAGCAGGATTTCAAATGCAATTTCAAGCCCTCTGAATGGATCAATCACTTCTAAATAAACATCTGCCTTTGGATTGCCTCTAGTGCTTTCACTGCCTTGTCCATCACTGTCTTTCCAAGATAAGGCATGTGGAAGAAAGCCATCTCCCAGGCAATTCCAACTATTTACCAATGTCAAATTAATGCACTTGGAAGCAGAGCAAAGAAGAATTTCCTCTGTTCTTTCACCAGCTTTATATGCAGACCAAATCCAGAATATTAATGCTCAGTAGCACAAGCATTACAATCCCACTCATCTCTGTTAAAAAAAGAAAAACAAACCAGAAAGAATTTGGGGATTTTCTCTAAGAAACCTCAGCTGAACAGCTGAATTTAAGAGGTAATTCCTGTCTTCACAGGTAAAAGTTTGGGTAGTTCTAATGAAACATTTAGAGATAAGAACACAGTCACTATTTATACCAACCGTGCTCCGTGCTATCACTCACAGAAAAGCAGAAACCAAAAAATGTAGGCAGCAAATCTCTACGTACTGACTCATCAGTCAAATTTCTCTTCACTACTCATTTCTTTCCTAACACCTGCACGTCATAAGCAACCACTGATGACAAGATCGCTCAGTTTTATGAAAAAATAAAACCATTTTGGCACCATAAAGAATGAAGGGATAACCTCGTGGTTAAAGGGCTGGCCTACGAGGCAAATCGCTTACATACAGTTTATATGATTTCAATAGAGATCTCAACAATCAGATAAGGAGGTACTTTGCATCCGCGATTTTCGTTTTGTTCCAGTGATCCATCTTGAGCAGGATGGATGGAGAATAGCTCCATCTCCAGTTTTGTCTGTAGCCTGGAAGCATGGAAAATTTTTCTGGAAGTGTGAACCAAGGATTTACTAATTCCCAGGGATTTCAGTTCCTGGATGCATCCTCTAGCCACTTGTCTGTTACCCAGAAACTGGGTGGCACATTCTCACTCTTCTTCTGCTCCCCTGGCAGCTATGTTTCAGGGGAAGTTGTGATCTGGCTGCATAAAATGAGGAAGAGGTTTCAGACTCTGAAACCTAGTGTCGCAGAGTTGTCTGTGACAGCAGAACTCAAACATGCACTTAAGCCTAGATAAGAGATTAAGTCCAAGATATTTTTTTTTTTATTATTTTTGCTGGTGGTCAGCTTACACATCCAGCCCTTAGCACAGTGGGCCCTGTAGAACACCTAAATACAGCATACAGGAGCTTTGGCAGTTAAAGCAATATTGTAAACCTGCATCTAGAAATAGACATGTGACTATTGCAGTATTCACTGTCTCAATGCCTGGATCAGAAATGCAAATCTATGTTGGTACCTTTAAGTACCTACAAAGCACTAAGAAAAAATAGTATCATTCCAAGTTCTGCATTGCCTTCCTATGTAACCGACTGCCTCCCCATCCATGTATCTATTATTCCTGCAAAGTCCACTCATTTTACGTAAATTTCTCCCCCAACCCACAGAACCCCAATAATGCCAATCTTAAAATGCTAACTAACCTCTGTTTTCTGTGCAGCGGCAACCTCCTTGGAAGCAGTTGCATTACAACTATCCTGAAAAAAATCAGCATTTCTCCATGTCAGGACAAGGAAGAGACAGATTGCTGTTCAGATGTAAAAAATACAAGGAGAAGGCAGCACGGGGGATTCCAGCCCTCTCCAATAAACTTCACCTGGCAGGTGGTGGCAGGAGAGACACGCATCCATTTACAGCTGGCACACTCATGCTTGTGTATACACTGTGAGCAGCTGGTAACACAGAAAACAGAGTTTTTGTAAGACACAGGGACTCAATCTAGATTCAGCCATGAATGTGAAATTTCAAGTGACAGAAAAAAGCAAAAAAGCACAAACCCAAGAGAACAACCTAGCAAACATGTAATGAAATGTGTGAAACACATAACCTGCGTTTACCCTCCAAGCCTATTGTTCTCTTGTGCTTATTCTGAGGACAAATTTAGTATGAAATGCAATCTGTGCCGAGGTGCTGAGAGTCATAAATTTCCAAAAAGCATGAACCAGATGGAACACTTTGAGTTTCATTTTGCTGTGGTTTTCTCCAGTACGTAAGTGGCCAGACAGTACATTTTAACCAGAAAAGGGAAGAAAACCATCACTGATTCTTTCACGGCTTGCCTGAACTTGTGTTCTGTGTGTGTAGTGCTAGCAACTATTGCTAGTTTGCTATTGCCTTCCCCTACCAAAAAATATGCCTGTTGGAGACTAATTTTTCCCTATCTTGCTTTGCAATGCAACTATCGGCATGGAGAAGAGCCAAGAGCAGCACAGGTCCTCTCCATGCATGCTGAGAAATGCTCTCATTTGGAAAGAGAGCTCCTTCCCTGTGTTGCTCCAGGGACACGGAAGTGATGCGCCACTTTCCAAAAAGCAGGAGTTCAGTTTCATTCCGGGTGCCTACGAATTACCCTCTTTGTACAGGGGAGGAGCATTCTGAACAGGAACACAGTAGTTACCTACAGAGTACATTAGCCAGATCTTTCTAAGTTTTAACAGCCATATATCATAAAGGGTTAGGCCGTGTACTGGGCAAAAATGCTTTCTACTGCAAGCTGTTAACAAAGAATGGGGCTTTGAAAAATAACGTGTACAGAACAATAGCTATTCACTATTCCTATTTGCAGATTAGATGTTACTTTTTGGTTAAAATATATTCGTGTTACCCATGGATGACATCTAAACTGCATCCACCTCAATTAAAAAACAGCTCCATAAAGTGCTTTTACAGAATCTCCTGACTCCTCTGATCTAGGTCTTAGGCTGAATACCAGGGGCCCACCTTTTTCACAAGGACAAAAAGGATTTTAATGTCATTGTGCCATCCTTTACTATCTCTACAGGCACTTGTCATAAATTCAGTCATTGTAATGACTCTCCTACAGCTAGCTACCAGGGTCCCATTAAATAAAAGAGTTATCAGAAGAAGTAGCTTTCTAAGGACAGTAAAAAAAGAGGAGAAGGAGGAAATGGGCCAAGAAAAGGGATTTGACTATCTTTAATGAAATGTATTTCCTCAATAAATACAAAATAAAAGAATGATCATACTTCAGCCCCCTCCCTCTCCCCCCACCAAATGAACTTCAATAGGAACCAGACTCTTACTTTTTCAACTGAAATGTTTGTGTGAGATTCCATGAGCTTGAGGACAGTGATGCTTCAAGAACTAGACAATCTGGAAAAAATATGACTGTTAGACATACGCTGGATATTAGAAGAAATAACTGGAAAAAAATAGTTGAGTTGAAAGCTCGTGTGTTTTCAGCCATTCTCTACATGGTACGCACCTTCTCATATACACATTCACTCACGCTTTAGACTGATAAAAATAACTAGATTTTGTCTTTACATAGCACCCTTCATCTGACTTACTCCAAGACTTTACACACACTCATTAATTAAGTTTGATGCAACTACTGCATGACATACAGAAGTAGTGTTATTGTCACAATACAGATAAGGAAATGCTACCATGGAGCAGGGATATGAAATCATCTCCCAAAGAGCACACAGTGGCACACTGTGGCACAGCCAGAACCTGAATTAAACCCTTCTAACGCAACAGACTGTTCTAATGCAAGAGATCCCAACATACCGTACTTCTCTCTCTTTCTTTCTCAGAGACTTGTTTTCAGAATCTTCTTTTGTAATCTATGCAGTAGCAATTTTCATCCTATTTAAATCTTTTATGATTGCATGAGTCAATTTGCCATTATTTCAGCTAGCAATTACTATACCAACAATTCACTGGCAGCTGTGGAATGAAAGAGTATCTTCTCCCATGAGCAGAATACCACATCGAAGAGCAGAGTTAGATATATACCACTTAAACCATGGTCCCTTTCATCTGTGTGCCTGCAGATGTGTATGTCTGCGAAATGAATGACTGCCCAAGATCAAATGAAACCCATGTGTGCAGACTTCTCTATGCTAAGAAGTAGACAGCTTTTTAACCCAGGAAAGTTACATAGATTTTAAAGTGCACCTACCTTGCAAAGGTAGAGAATGCTTTGTCTTTATCACAGGCTGGCTTGTTCAGATGAAAACCAGCTTTGGATATATCTACACTGTTAAATCAGAAGTATCTCCTGCTCTACACATCAGCATGGCACTTGGGTGCTCTCCGCATAGGTCACCTGCACTGCTCGTTAGAAACAGCCCCTACTAAACGGATAGCAAAGAGTCTGATTTTTAAAGGTATTTTAATGCTTGAAGATGTGGATGAGCACACACAGACATTCTGAAATCCTTCACCAAGCACCTATTTGCATCTCCAGAAGTCTATATATCTGCAGAAATCTGAAATGTTGGGCACAAAATTGCTTAAATCAGTTGTCTAGGTCATTATATGAGAAGGGTCTCAAACCATGAACTACTGAAAAACATGATTAAACAAGGACTAATAAGTAAAAGTAAGGAATTTACCTGCTTCTGGCAGAGCTTGTCTTCGAAGTTTGTATAAATACTTATAAAAAAACACTGTCAAATATAGTTTCCTGATTTTGTTTGTGTTGAAATTAATGGAACCTATTATTTTCTGTATGGTCTGGGCTGACCTTAAAAACACATCAGTCTGCACTGAGTAGCAAGTATTTTTGAAATTTTTTTTCCCAGAAATGATACCTGAAGGAGTTCTGCAAGTGCATCTTCTTGTGAGACCAAGGTCACTTTACATGAGGAACCATAAACAGTCAACATAACTCCCACAGCTGCATTATCCACTTATACGTCAGGTGGTAGGAGCATATGAATGGCAGTAATACGGGCAGGCACAAGCTAAGCCCACAGCCTTCTGGTTAACACTGCCAAACACTGCCATCTTTGGCACAAAGGACAGGCCAGGCAAGCTAGCTTCTGTAACACTATACTCTGAAAACCTGCTAATGGAGTAAGAGAAAGCCTTAGTCCAAGAAGACAGAGAACCAGGTACTGCATAATTGTAAGAAAATATGCCTTTTGGGTCTTCGTCAATAAAGGACTTTTTTTTTTAACTCTCTACTGCATTTGTCTCTTAAAGATCCACTAACAGTATTTACCAAAGACAGCTTAACAGACCAGAATACTAATGGATATATCCCTAGCTGTCACCTGCTAGTGACGAAGTCTTGTCTTCTCGATTCCCAAATCAATATTGGACAGGAACTCGACACACAACACTTTTGTGATGACAGTGGAACTTTTCTCATACAAAGGCCAAAGTATGAGCTCCTGAGATCCCAATATTCCAAGGAACCTCATTCAGGGGCAAGGGTTCCCAAGACAGAAAGCTTGTTGCAGCACTGAGCTCTTCAGCCCAGGTCCTTATAAATTCTGGTTAACGTTTCATTCCTCTTTCTACATAACGGTATTATAAGAGAATCAGATTCATGCAGAGTATTACATGTCTTTTGGGCCATATTATCTAGGAAAAGATAAAGGCAGGCATTTATCTGAATTTTCTGCTTCCTCTTCATGTCACTTAAGAGAGTATGGTATCTTTGTGCCTTAGTTTAGATTAAAACTCTCTTTAGTATTCTAATATAAGCAACTTAAAAAAGGTACAAGGTCAACCTGTATTAAAAAAGCTTTGTGCTTCTACACAGACCCTTGAAGCAATGCAAGGGGGATGTTTTCCTCCTAGTAGTCAAAGACTCTACTGTGAAGGATTATCATCTGATCTTTGAGACCAAATCCTACAGAGCAGCTCAAAAGTCTAGACATGCAGTAATTTACCACCTCATTCTAAAACTTGTACTTGTCCATAAGATGCACAAACAGATCACGCGCATGATGCGTCCAATACAAATGGCCCAGGTGTCTAATTCTGAGAACTACTAGAAAACAAAGTAGTGTCAGAATTATTGCAGCAATAATTCAGAAAGATGAATGAAATCAAGTTAAAAAGATGTACCAGCCAAACTGCCCCTGAACCACGTACTTTTCTGCTAATCCTCTACATGGGACAACCACCTTCTCACAAGCATCTAAGTTAGGCTGAAAGAGTTAATTGAATATTAAGATTATTTATTGTACAGACATTCAGATTCTCCTCTTATTTATGTTAGTACAGTTTCTTGCAAAAACAAATTCTGTTTGCAGATAAGAGAATCGTTAAGATGGGTTAATTTGTCAAGGCAGAGCACTGGACCAACGCTGCTTCCATAGGTCCAGCCAGCTTGATTGTCATTGCAGCTATCTTAAGGCTCCATAGACAGCGATTGATGGCACCATGTAAATATACTCCTAATACTAAAAGACTGCACTGCTATAAGCTGAACTGAAGAACCTGCTTCTAGCCATAGGTTAATATATCTTATTACTTCTGGAAAGGATTCCACATTAACAAATCTTTAATTATCAAGAATAGTGTGAGTATACTCAAATCACTCGACAAAACAGGAATTTTCTTTTTTCCAATGACATTTACTAAAAAGCATTACCTACTCTCACACTCACATAAATACAGGTTAGGCCTGTATTTATGCTCGGTTCTCCTAAGTAATAAAGGACAGTGAATAAGCATTAAATACATGTAATAGTAAAACATACCATCATCCGTTATCTCTGCAGTAGTTAGATTGCAGAAACAAGATGAGTTTTGCAGCACTACATTTTCATAAAATACTTCCACAGGTTTTACAATTTTTATCACACAGAAAGTAAGAATTTTTCTTATGCTTGCAGCCACAGCAACCTATAAAACAATAAAAACAAGAACACAAAAGGTTTCTTGTTATACTTGTTATGTTGTCACCTTGTCTTTACAGAAAACAACAAACTATGAAATGTATAAATGAAAATTTTTGTGGTGGAAGCAGACAATTCACTAAGCAGCGTCTCAAAGGAGAAGGGCTCTCCCTACTGAAGAAGCAATACAAAGAGTCATGAGAGAAACAGCATTACTTCCAGACATTAAATTGATCTGTAAGGTACATGTGGGGATCAATCTGGAATAATTTTGGACTTTAAAATGAGATTTTTTCTATAATAGTGTTGTAGGCTGTTATATTCCCTTAAAAACATTTGAGCAAGAGTGTACAAACCCTAACAGAGACATAATGTTTGCGTCTATAACCAAAGTGCATTTAATTATGAAACAGAATTTGTCTTGTAATGAATTATCCTTTGTTTCTGGCTGAGAGCGCTTTACAAATATGATCACATTAGTGCATTCAATCAGGAAACCAGAAACAATAGCATGCAGATTAAGTGGCCAGTCACAATACTTGATAATCAAATACTCAGGGCTGTGTGTGCTGCAAAGAGATACTGAGTAAATTCTAATATCAAACATTTAAAGACGTATTTGTGTTACCATATGTGCCCCAGTGTATGTTTAGTAACGTGTTACAAAGCTCACAACTTACATAATGCACTTGATATATAGTCACTAGAAATAATAAAATAGATGATAAAGTGATATAACGGAAATGTTGCCTTTGTCAGCATAGTGAATTTTTGACTCAACATCATGAAGTACAGCTTCAGGAGACATTTTATAGGAGAGGAAGAGAACATCTAACCGATTGACACCTTCAACTTACTGGGATTTCCAATACATTGGAATACATCTCCCATTGGAGATAGGAGGGACTAATATGTGGAACATGATGACAAAAGAAGGGAAGCTGCAATAACCTATAAAATGACACATTTTAAGTCACAATAAACAAACACGCATAAAAGTGGGTGTACATACCTGATTTTTGCCAGGGAAACTTAGCAGGATTTCCAGATCTTTATCAGGTGCATGTGAAATGTTATACCAATCCTTTACGCTGTTTGAACGTGCACAATTTTCTTTTAACGTGCACCTAAAAGTATACATAAAATTATACTAGCCTCCTTATGGTAGCTTTGACTTCAGATACTGTACTTCAACTTATTTAATGTTATTGAATTTTTACAGGAATGCTATTGATTTTTTACAGGAATATGGTTACAACTGCAAAACGCTTCAGGAAAACAATCAGTAAAATCTTCTGCTTATCAAAATAAATTACAATGCATTGATATATGCTCTAGGGTCCTGATTAAGTCAATGGCACTCAAACAAATATTAGATGCTTGGCCAGTAATAGTGGACTTAGTAGCCTGGGATGGAATTCATCACGCTCAACTTTTGATTGCTCCATTGTATGTACAGCTCTAGATCTGACTCCCCCAGTTCCGTCTACACTCAATGGGGAGAAATATGCCCTTTCAGGGTTCAATTCACCTAACCTATTTTAGACATTCATACAAAAATGAAATGAATAACGCTATGGAATCTGCTCCTTCTCTCCAAAGAGTATAAAAGGAGATGGGGATGAAGCTCAGATGTAGAGCTACACTACAAATGCGTACAGCTGATGAGAGGCATCCTCCTGCCTAATCATCTCCTCTGTCATCCACTGATGTGAATCGCAATCTTTCACTCTTATGGCAGTGCACTTGGTTAAAACCACTGTGCTTGAAAAGGTAGTTCAAAATAGTTTCTCTATCTTGAAGAATAAAATGGCACATAGTAAGTAAAAGGTTACAGATGCCAAATTGTAGAAAATAGAAACTATAGAACATTAGGAAAAAAATGAGGAAACACTGGAACATACAAGTACTACTGAGATAATACATATTAAAAACGTGATAAAGAAGAGACACAGGCATACAAATTAGACAGACAATCACTGAGTTTGAAAGGTGAATCCTTAAAATACTGTCTGCTGTGAACAGTTAATGAACAACCCATAGATGAACTCCGAGTAACTTCATATAGCCAGCAATTAAAGACAAGTGCCAATTTCATGTATCTTACTTTAAGATTGAATATTTATAAATAAATGTAATATTTAATATTGTTATAATAATCCTGCTTTTCTACCAAATGTAGAAAGATGTGTAGCTTCAATCATGTGATCAGTGGCACGTGTCTTAATGAGCTAACTGCTCCTTCGCAAAAACTAGAAATGAGTACATACTTGCAAAGCATGAGCCTTTTTCATGAGGACCTCACTGTATAGACATATTTCACAATGTGCTTTCTCTCCAGAAGGAATAACATAAGAATGACTCTCAAGAAAAATATCCCCTGCTTTCCAAAATGCCCGAAATAACCCCACAAACCATGGAAACCATTAAGCCATCTTCTCTGTAGATCAAGACGTTGGCAACTGGAATGCAGTTAAGCACAAGGTCACTTCCTTTCTGGTCTAACTCAGGAAACTGAGTTCCTGCTGCACAAGAACTTGGTGAGGCTTTGGATCTGAATACATTCAGATCATAAATATACTGTAAGAAATTGGGACTATCCCTGACATATTTCAAACTGTCTTAACTAGGACAAATTTCAGTCTCCTTTGTATCTCTCTTCACCTCACTAAGATCACAGAAGTCCATTAGCACCACAGTTTTAGAACCCCAGAGGATGGGATGTGTCATCATCACCAGATGTGCATAAACCAGATGCTCAAGTATGTAAAGATAGACAACTCTCACTGGCAAGAATGGAAGAGAGACATCATGTATTTTTTGGCCAGGCTGAGGATCATAATGTTGAAGATGCAAGGCAACACGCTTGCAACACGTGGCACTAAATGAGTGCATGCATTTCAGTTTTATATTAAAATAGAAAACTGTTTATAAAGCTATTTCAAACCGTCCTAGGACGAAGTTATTTGCCTTCTTACATTGCCTGAGGAACTCAGGCAGTGAACTTGTTTCCCTTATTTGCGATGAAGAATCAAAGAGTTTAATGGCAAAAAAAAAGTAATACCACGCAGGACCCAGGATTGTACTTGTCTTCATGACAGGAAAAAAATGTGCCTTTTGTTGCTCTAAAAGCTGACCTTTAACACTCAATGTGCTATGGAGAATGGTCATTTTGTAGGAAGCAGTTACAAAAGGGGAAGTAGAGCATCTGATGCCCCTCAACATAAATTCTCACAATTGCCCTACACAGGCCAAGAGTAACGTGAATTCCTCTCACATGAAGATTAGATTATTTTGTTCTATCCCTATTTTTAGACATCTGATATTGTTTGCAAGCACCTTGCAATGAATTTAACAGAAAAATATTATTTGTGAACCACATGGCTCTGAAAGTAACATGCAGACTCAGACCACCACTAAGAAAGCAAAAATACCAGTGCTGCAAAAGTGACTGAAAGTTTCTGGAGTCTGGCTTTCTTGGAAAGGTGGACTGGATCAGAGCCTATACAAGTATGCACAGATATGTGCACAGAGAAAAGCAGAGTCAAGAGTTTTTTTAATCTTTCACAGCAAGCTGGTTCTTTATACTACTAAAGATTCCTCTTCACAATTGGAATCAAATTCTTCTTATTTCATTATGATAACACGATACCTATGCATACTGGCTCATTCATATTTACTTATGTCTCTGCTTCGCTAATCTTGTATTAACTACAGATCTTACTGAGTTTGCCCTCTCTACCTTGCTAAAGCATACTGAGTTTGCCTCATGGAATGAGAATGTGGTTTCAGAGAAAGTTCTGGCTTCCTTTTCCACAGTACCAGCCCCTGAATGAAGTCCACAGATGTCACAAACACTGACCAAATTCAAAAGTAAATCTGGTCATGTCAGGTAACTAAGATATATTATGTTATTTCCATATGGAAAATACAGGTAAAATATCAGTGCCTTCTACTGGAATAATTTCAGCAAACTTCAGGTAAATCTGATTCATCTGTAGAAAATCTGTAAACGTTAAGAGAAATCACACAATGCTATGACTAATTGTTTTGAATGATTGTAAGTGAAAAAGATAACTTATGTATTTGTCCCTGTGGAAGAAAGAGTAGAAATAGGAACAGTAGAAACATTTTGTTTCATTTTGTTTTCACCTGCAATAAGACAGGCAGATTTTTTTCATGAAAATACTGCATTTGTGTTCATGCTGTCTTTCAAATGAAGCACTGCTGGTAAGTTTTGTTTAAAAAATGGAATGCATATTTAATATAAAATTTATTTCCCAGTAAAACATATAATCTATCTCAAAAATTATTATGGAATATATTGCTTTAGTGGACGTGTATGGACTTTGATTAATATGCTGGTAAAAATACGTCTTCCTGTTTTTCTAAAGCTTTACTCAAGAGCCCTATCATCACAAAACCAAATATTTAATGATGCTAAGTGCTTAACAGTGAAAAATTATGTGGGTGTTGAATGGGATTCATATTGTAGCAGTTCTTTTTTTCTCCACTTTCTGTTTCAACCAGACGGAAACTTTTGGTGATTCCCCTCATAAACAGGGGATTTACTAATAACTGTTATTCACAAACTCTTTATAAGGTAACTAAAAGCCCGAAAAGCTTAGCACTATAACATATACTTGTTTCTAACAAGGTAGCAAAAGAGACTTTGAAGAAAACACATTATGGAATACACACCTACTCTCTTCTAATAACTACCTTTGCAAACACAAAGTAGCAGATCTTCAGCAAAATCACCTTAATATGAACCAAATCAAAATGGGTCGTATTAACCTTCTAAAAGAAGGCTTCTAGTGGAATTCTTCAAAAAACCCGATCTTATAACTACTTTTGTGTGATGTTTAATCAGTGATGATCTGGTATAAAAGAAGGTTTATGCTGTGGACATCTGGTGATGATCCAAAGCTGGGAACGCTACCATGCAGAGGAAGATGAGAATATCACACGGGAAAACTTGGATAACCTCAAAATGGGATGACATTTCAAAGCATGTAGTACAAGAACATGTACTTAGAGCAATAAAAATCTCACAACCCATATGTGCTATAGACTGGAAACTCATCAGTTGGAAAGAAAACAAAGAAAGAGAAGGACCTGGGGGCATTGTTTGATCATGAATGATTGTGGCTCATCAATGTGATGCAGTCATGAAAAAGACACTTGTGATCCCAGGACACATGAACTAAGGTGCTTTCTGGTCAGATTGATTAAACACCATTGAGCAAGGCACAGCTGAAATCTCTTCTGGAGTACTGTGACAGTCCTGGCCATCCTTATTTTAAAAGGATGCATAACCTTCACAGAAGAGCTCCTGGAGTGGAGTGAAGAAAGGAGTGTCCTATGTAAGAGGATCTTAGTGAAGTTGGCTCTTTCAGGCACACCAAAATGAAAGTGAAGAAAGAGACTGTTTTCACAAAAACACTGAGAAGGATGAGGGAGGGGGAAAACCTATTTAAGCCAAGGTGATGTGGACACCAGGACAAAAGAGTATAACCTGTCCACGAACACACAGGGGATGAAAATAAGCAGACAGATTTTAACCAGCAGACCAGTGAGACTCTCAGATAGCCACACCACCAGGGTGGGGAGAACAAAAGGCCTATCTAAATTTAGGATGGCCCTTGATTATTTTACGACTAGGTTTACATGATGCGGTTGCTTGCAATTGCCAAGACTAGGCTTGATGACCCAGGAATTTCTCCAGTCCAGGCCAAAGACGTACAGCAGCTTTCAAACCTGCTTCAAAGAAAGCAGCAAAACTAACGACTCAAACGCAAGGATGAAGCATTTAGAAAGAAAGTCTCCTCTGGCCTAAACCAAAGGCAGTGGTCCCAAAGCAAGGAACTATGAATACTGAAGACAACTGAGCACTCTTTCCCTGTTCTCATATACAAGACACTTCTAGCTATTAGGATGCTTCAAGCACAAGTATACAATTTTATTTCTCAATCAGTTTGGAAAGCAAAAAACCGTATGTTCTAAAACCAAAATATTTTTTTCTTCTTAGCCCAACTTCAAATTTATGGGTAGATCTCAAAAATCTGAAGGTTAACATGGTCATTAAAAGGTGCAAAGCTCCCTTTCACATGACAATAAAGTGTCTCACATTTATGGCTATGACTGATTCTTTGAAAATTCTGTAGATAAAATCTTGATACAGAATAGCCCCAAGCCAGTCAAAATGTACACTGACTAATAACACATTGCTTTTATATGAAAATCTAAAATACAAAAAAATACCTTTGATTGAAAGAACACCACCCGCAGTAGGGATCCTTTGCAGATAAGCATTCTTGCTCGGAAACATATCTACCACAATTTGCAACTGGTATTCTTCTCACCTAAAAGCAAAAAAGGTAATATCACACTGAATTAAAATAGTCTCCATAAAGAGGGAAAGTGAAGGTTACCATTAAAAATCTGACAGCAACCACACACGATCCCTTCGGGAAAGTTTCCTTATGGATTTCCCTCTGCCAGAAGACCTTTGGATAGAAATATGCAGCCTATTTTACACACGCTGTATTTTGCCATCAGACGATGAAACTCCTCTGACAATGACAAGGCCAGCATGGACAAAGTAATGTGGGAAAGCCTAATTAGCATAGTGAATTATAGATAACAATAGAAAGGAAGTATATTCTACAAACAATGTTCTGCTCAGCAGAACATCATTTTCCTCTCATCAGAACTGAGATTTTTAAATGATTGATGAAGGTGCATCCAAAAATGCATGCATAAACCAAAATGCATCTGTGTTGCATCCCCATGTCAGGTAACTGCATGTGCACACTAGAACAAACGCATGCAACTACTTAGCATGCATGAAAATGCCGTTTCAATAAGTCAATGTACATAATTGTGGCTATATTGTATGTAGCTATACTTGTACATTCAGCGCGAATATCCTAGCCAGCCATTTTCAGAAAAGGAAAGGAAAAAGAAAAAGAGAGAGCTGATTACAAATACTGAATACAAATAATGTTATTAATAAAAATGTTAATTAATAATATCAGTAAGAAAAATATTCCTAATTGAAACCATTTTTTTAACAAATTTACAAATTTTTTTTACAAGTTTTTACAAATTCAGATTTCCTATATTTTGTGAACAGAAAAATGGACACATGGCTTTCTGCAGAACTACATTTACTGTTTTTTCCAGCCGTATCTTGTAAAATTCTATTTATCTGAAGGTGTGTAAGATAATCATTTCAGAAATCAACCAATACCATAGACTACTAGCATGTTAAAAAAGACAGTGTTAAAGCCTTGCTTAAGCTCCAAGAGATGAACAGAGAGAGGCATTTATTCCTAAAGGCTGTTCCTCTATAACAACTTGCTCTTTGAGCAAAGGTAAAGAAAATTCAAGTCTTTACTTCTAATAACTACATACACTTTTGAATGAAATTTTGATTCCTTCCGCATTTGTGATAGTTGGTTTATATCGGTCAGGAGTTCTCCTACCAACTTACCCACTCTCTCTCAGACGGCAGGCTAAAATGCTATGTTCACGGCTGGAAAAGTGATTTTATTGTAAGTGAAGGTAATCAAGTGCTGGGTGAAATCCTGTCCAGCCAAGACGGACAGCCAACCCTTACGTTTTTACTGCCATGCTCCCTGCTGCTGGTGAGACAAAGGCTTTTTTGCCGAGTTGATGCTCAGTAAGCGCTGCAGGATGTGCTGCAACAACTGCGCTGGCTCCTGGGAGCCGCTCTCTGTTTGAGATGCAGCGCTGCTGGCGTGCGGTAGCTCCCGGTGATTGCTGAACTCCTTGGCCTCACTCTGCGTACACATTAATCACTTCTGATTGTGTTTTGGTTTGCTATGCCTAGCTGAAGACAATGAGGCTTTTATCATTGATTTCAGCAGAACTAAGACTTCAAACCCATCTCTCAAATGAATAGATTTCTCCCCATCAGAAACTCCGTAATTGACTAGCAAATCCTGGCCTACCAATAGCTGGATTGCTAATTCAGAGGAATTCCATCTTCAAAGAGTCTACAAGTTTTGTTTGCTACCTCCAAGCTTGATTCTGCATGATGCCTCCAGGAAAAAGAGAAACGAAGACTCTCTCGACAGGATGATATACAATAAGCATGGGATTAAGGGTGTAGCAACAGTGGGCAGCACTTGTAGCAACAGTGGGTGGCACCATGTCAGTGGAGGCTCTTCTGAGCTTTGCAGAAGTGCAGCCCAAACTTAGACAACACAACCAGATATTAGATGTAAAGTTGACAACTCCTGTTTTGACATTTAAGGTCTAACTCTGACCCAAATAGATGCTTCGCTTATAAAATGGGAGAAATCTTTAAAGCAGTAGCTCAATTTTTTATTTTATTTGATATTGTGCTTACCTTATTGGCAGAGGACAAATAGATGTAGTTATTGTCTACTGGATCAAGTCGAAGCTTGGGGAAAATGGACGTTTCTTCCTCAATTTCATATAAAATCTCTGGGCAACTGGATTCCATATGCTTATTAAGAACAGTCTAAAACACACAAAATTAAATTACTCACAAGTCCTTTTATTGATCAGCTTGCATTTTAAACAAAAGCCTAATTTCAGCTACATCAGAGCTTCTGAGATGATTTACTGGTCCAATTCACCTACTCCACTGGCTCTCACTGCAGAAAGATGGAGGAAAAGACCACCAAAACAGAATTTCAACAAAATCCGTGCCAGACACATTTTGCACTGAATCTGGCACTGGTTTAGTGTATCAAACATTCCTCCCACCAAGTATGTTCGTGATTGACGCAGAAACTGAATGTGGAAGAGATGCCTATATCCCAAAGTCATAATGTGTTAAGTACTCCTATGAATGGAGAAGAAAGTATTAGCATTCAGAAAACAAATTAACACCTAGACATGCATAATGTAAAAAGGAACCTCTGCAACTAACTGACAACTGCCTTCAGGACAGAAGTTTCTTTGTGGCTTCTGTGACTATACATCTGAGATGGTATTTCTTTTTCTTACCTTGCCCAACTCTACAGTTTTCCACCAGCCTTCGCACAGAATTCAAGAAAACCAGAGACCACAGAAGTTTTATTTTGAAAGTTAATAAGCACACCAACATTGACATAAGGTTTTCCATAAACATGGCTAAACACGGGAGATATGCTCATGGTCTCCACTGTGTTAAGGAGACATGGAATACTTCAATTTCAGTTTTCATTATCAAAAGCATAGTGAAATCAAATGGGCAACAGCTTTTCAAGCTCTCTACTATATTCCTCTCCAACCGCCTGCTTAATAAAAACAAAAAAATGAGAGTAATCCTTTGCAGTGTAGACAGGAAATGCACATTTGTGCAAAGCCCAGAAAAAAATTAAAGCATAAAAGACATTTGACTGGATGGCTGAAAAGTTTGAGAGTGAGATAAGGTGACTTTCACTTCCAGGTGATTGATTTAAGAGGTCAACTATACAGAAGCTTAGGCAAAATGAATCTTGACTTTTGTCTCTAATGGACAGCTATTCACATCACACAGATAGGCTAACAAATGAATAAATATGCTTCTGAAATATAACAATATTTAATAATTCTACTGGAAAATCAAAGCAAGGAAGGAAACAAAAGACAGAGTAACTTAGAACTCTACAGTCCACAAACTGATACTGTGGGCATTAGCAGTTTAGTGAAGCATTTCCATGAATTTTAAGCAGGGGACATAATTGCTTTTGAAAGTTATCTTGCTCTCCAAGTAACAATACAGCAGTTACTTCACAAACAAACAAAAAAGAAATAGAGATTCAGGGGATTATATCTGTTTATAATACAGTGTCTAAACCAGAAAACATTTACCCAGTTGAACACAGCAGCAGCTGATGGAGAAGGGCAGAACTGCCACACTCAGCTTACCTTCAGTAACTGTCCATCATCTGTCCCCAAAAAGAGAACTATCTGATTCAAAACAACTGTGCCATAAACAACCACCAATCCAGAGTGAATCAAGGTAGGTAATTTCTTGATTGATTGTGCCTCCTGAAAATCAGATAGAAGAGAAAGCCATTACAAAATCATTCACCTGTACTGCAGAAGGTTAAGAAAAAAAAAAAAAATTCCTGGAAAGATTCTCAGAGAACTCAGCTTTAGACAATGCTTTGGGTAACGATTTAGTTCTCACACAATTTCAGAGCAACTTATCATTGGAAATGGCACTGAAACATGAAACTACTTCTTTTCTATACATGGCAACTGGTCATACCTGTAACAGAGATTACATCTACTAAATCACTGATCTCAGCGGGACACAGACCTGGCCTAACAGCAGCAAGTTCCTTTGCAACAGAATTTCTCTTTTTTGGGACATAATGCCCTGAGCTTATTCTGAATTGCCATTTCTCCTCAATGAAGCCACGCTTTCACTGAATTTCACTGAATTTTTAGAGTTGGAAGGGACCATAGAGATCATCTGATCTCTATCACCTGATGGCACTTACCATGAAGGCTACAAGATACAGTCAGCAAGCACTTTTAAAGGCATACAAATGTTCTAGAGATAGGAGGTACTTCAAACAAAGAGAAATTTGTGTGTGTCAGAAAGCACAAAGCTTCATCCTCCCTTTTCTGGTTTCCTGCGCTACACTAAAGGAAGTTGAGACTTGTGTATTACATAAATACAAAAATGGGATAAATCAGCATAAAGTTCACATCAGAAGGAACATAAATATACCTGTGCGAACTTTAAAATCTACATGTTACCTACAATTCTCTGTCCAAGCTGGAGGAAATTAAGTGACAAACATGTGTAAGCAGCTCATGCAAGAAAGTATCATGCAGGAAATCCCTGTATCTTGTGGAAGAGAAAACCAAACCAAATAACCCTGACTGCAGATGACCAAGTGCTGAAAGGAAGCCCTGATGTGTGAGAATAAAGTCATTTGCCATGTAAGAGACGGTCTTTGCCCCACAGTCCCTACAAACCCAGGTATCTCCCTTGGAAGCAGTACCTCAGTTTTGCAGTCCTGTAACTGCTTTAAGTAAATCTCCATGGCAGATGCTGCCAAAGGGGTGATCCCACCTGCTCTCCAAAGGGGTCCAGTCTCAGCCAAGCTTGACCTCCCCTTCCTCTCTATTTAGTATAATGCTTTCCAGTGACCTTAGCTAAGAAAATGATGTGCCTAGAAAATGGTCTGAAAATCCATCTACCTACCTATATTTTCATTTGAGTCATTTTCCTCATCACATGAACGTGTGGCTGCTCAGACACCAGTGCTGGCACAAAGCAGCGGCAGGCACAGAGAGGTGGGGGGAAGAGCTCAGGTAGAGATCAGGTCCTTGGGAACAAGCCCAGTAGATCAGCTTACAAAGCCCAGAATCCCAGCCTCAGGGATGGATTCCTAAACCTACAGGAACCCTCTGAGTGCAAGAACCTATTTCACTTTGATGCACAAGACAAGACTGACATTTTGCAGAAAGGTGAAGGCATTTCTCAAATTTATCAAGCGAATCCATAACACAGTAACAGCTGAATTCAACTCTCTTGCATGCTAGGATGCTGGCTTAACCCCAAAAAGTCTTTCCACATAGAAATAACTTTTTTCTAAACTGCAATCCTAAGTCAATTAAAATCTTTTTCAGTCATCTGAATTATTTTAATTAGTTTGCAAGAAAAGCCACTTGGAGTAAAAGAAGATTTGATTAGCTTTCATATTTAAAGATTTTTTTTTTTGTTGCAGGAGAAAGAAGACACAGGAACTGCCATGTACTGGCACAGAACTTCAGTAAAACCCACTTAGGCAAGAGATTCCAGTACCATGGAGGTCTGGTTTAGATATGGCAGGAAAAAAGTGATCACAAGCATTTTAAGGTGGAAAAAGTTAACTTACTTTTTTATTAGATCAGAGGTAACAAAACTCCAGCAACGGTGCACGCAATGAGCCTTCACTCAGGCTACAGAATGAGGAGGTGAAACTTCCAGGCTTTGATTTCCACCAGAATAGGATTATTATTGTTTTTTCTGCAGTGCAGCGTATAGTAGTGTAAGGAAAACAAACCACCTCGCAGGGTCTGTACAATAAGATCACAGAAGAGGGGAGGACTGACCCAGTCTCTGAAAAGCTTTGCTGCCAGATTTTATTTTGACCCACATACTAGTAAAATAACTAGTGTCATATCAGTGCACCCTCCTCATCTGACTGAAGAACCAATACTGACAAGTGTGGAAGCCTCCTCCCCTCACTCTGCTTGCTAGAGGGAGGGTCAATGCGACATTGAGCTAATACAGATAAGAAGACGGGGAATTTAGACGGTGGGCAGTCACAACAAAAATTGCCTTCTCTCTTTTGCAACCTATTTCTTCAGCTTGCCCATTCCCTCCAGGGTGCAGCTGCTGCTTTCACCCTTCTGTCATCCGTTTTCCCTTGCATTTATTTTTTTAACAAGCCCTTTTACCTCTTCCACTGTGACTAATGGGGTTACAGTACTGTAGGGCCTTCCCAAGCTTTTTATTTCACAGCTAAATCCAACTTTTAAATGCATTTACAGTCTAAACTTCCTTTATTCTTGAAGAGTCACTCATCTCCAGGATCATCTATCTGTCTATCCTGTAATATTTTCAGTACCATACAAAAACAAGAAAAGCAAAAAAGAAAAGACAATACTGCTCTAGAAGACCACTCTCTTTTTAATTATTCAGTTCCTTCCTTTGTTCTTTTCTATAGTCCCCCAAAATCTTCATGTGCACTGGTAAGACTAGAGATCTCCTGAATTAACTTACATTTTGCTTTTAAGTTCACCTCCCCGTGCTGTTTGGTTATTGGCATGGAAGGTATTTATACTAATATTCTATTTTGCATCTCATTTTCAGATTCATCTCTGTATGATTCCAGCTGCAGCAACCATATTCACACTTCTACTTTCTGTCTTGATTTCCCCCGATTATTTTACATTGCGTGCCTCAGAGGGAAGGGCAGCATTTTTCGCTCACGCAGCACTCAACATATTGCAGCTGGCCAAAAAGTATAAATAAAGGGTTTGAGTATCAGAGTGAATGAACAGATGCAGTTATACAAAAGAACACAAGATTTGTGAGCAGTGTATAGGAATAGTCAACACTGGAACAATACATAAATGTTCTTCCTAGAGGGGAAAAAACTTCTGGACCCTCATTCTTCTTTCTTAACTTCACCACTCTTCAACCTCCTGCATCAATTTTTATTATATCAGAGGGCAACAAACTTAAATATTGGTGCATGCAGCGAGCCTTTATTAGGGCTAAGTAATGAGATGAACTGTTCCAGAATTTTATTTCCTTGAGGTTTTCTGATTTGTGCACTGCATAGCAATGCTAGGTGGACAAAGCATCCCAGCGAGGAGACTACAAAATCGAGGAGGATGAGCAGGAAATGAGAGGGTCTTCACAGAGACCTTGCAGATGCAAGGCAGGAGGGACAGGCATAGGCTATGCTTGAGGAAGAGATTTACAGAGATTCCTGAGATGGGGGAGGCTAGAAATTTGTGACTTCTTGCAGCAGCAGAAACACTCCTCCTCTGCCCTCAGACCTGAGTTTACAGAATTGATAAAGTGTCCTACTAGCCAATGAGGGAGAACAAGCTCCATTAAGGAAAGCTTTGAAACCAACTGAGCTTGAAAAAAGTATTAGCAGAAAGCAAGAGGAAGTGGTGGGTGACGGTAGTTGGGAGATTCCCTCCTGTGAAAGATGAAGGCACAAAACTGCTAAACCATCATGCTGTTAAAACATGTTTCTTTATTTTCAGGGGCTCTGACCCATTACACTGCAGAGAGACTGCCAATGATTTTCCATTCCTTAGATCACTACTCATTGTTGCACATCCATGTGGACACCAAAGACATTGCCTTGTGCAGATCAGGACTACAGTGCTCCTCACTTTACAGAGCCAATGAAGGAGATGGGACGCCAGGCTTTGTTAATCCTATGGGGTCAGTGAAGGGTGATGTTCTTCTGGATTTGCTATTCTGCAAACAAGGAAGAACTGACTGAAGATGTGATAATCAACGGCAGCCTTCACTGTAGTAACTATGAAATAACTGAATTCAGGATCCTGAGGGCAATGAGGAAAGAATGGCAGAGTACAAGGCCAGAGACCAGGCTTCAGCTTGCTCAGGGAACTGGTCAGTGGGATCCCCCGAAAGCTCTGAAGGGAAATGGAGCTCAGGAAAGCTAGTAGGTCCTTCATCCTTCAGGACAACCTCCTCCAAGCACAAAACTCAGGAAAACAAGCAGATGTATCAGGAGGTAGCCCCTAGCTAAGCAGGGAAGTCATGACAGAACGACAGTGCAGAAAAACAGTATAGAAGAGGCAGAAGGAGGAACAAACACCTAAGGAGGAACTGCCTGGACATGTAAAGATGGTGTTAGGAAAGCCCAACCACCTGGTGTTGAAACTGGCAAGAAATGTTACAGGCAACAAAAGCTCCTACCAGGACGGGAGCAATAAGAACATAAACAATGAAAATGTGGGCCAGGTGCTGTATAGGTCAGGTAACAGTGGACACAGATAAGGCTCTGACTTCACCAGCAAGATCTTGTGGTCCTTTGTACCTAGAGAGTTCAAGGAGGACAGAAACTACAAAGACTGGAAGAGGACCAAGCCAGAGATCTCTTCAGAAATCTCAGCTTACAGAAGTCCCAGAGGAACCAGATGGGATCTGTAGGAAGATGCTGAGAGACTGTCTGATAACACTGTGAGACCATTCTCTCATATTTCAAAAGTTGTGGAGGTCAGGGGAAGTCTCCAACAACTGAATAAAGGCAAATTCTGCACCCATCTTCAAAAAAAGGCAAGAAGGATGACCTGAGGAACTACACCTTGGTCAGTCTCACTTTTTCCCTGGCAAAATAATAAAGCAAATCCTCTTGGAAGCCATTTCTCAGCACAAGAACAAGAAGCAAGTGACTGGCAAAAGCTATCATAGATTCACTGAGGATAAATCATGCCTGATCAACCTGATTGCTTTCTGTGATGAAATGACACGACTAGTGGAAGAGGGGAGAACT